GGTGTTAAGCTAAATTTAGGAAAGCAACATAAAAATAATGATCGTGATTACTGTTAAGCAGCAAATGCTTTGAAAGCCTGTAGGTAGATTCTAAAAATTTCATACAAATGCTAATCAGGTTATAAAGTTATACTTCTAATCAGAGGGTATATAAATAAATACATCACAGAAGTAAAAGCAGAATAAGGCCTACATGTCATAGCTCTGGGCCTCCACGAGAGTTTGTTCCATATCAAGGCGTCCAAGAAATGATGGTTTTGATGTAAATGTAGACAAATGCTGCGCCAGATTTATGTGCCTCTGAAGAGACAATGGTGCCGACTATTTAGTTCTAACACAGGTAATAATTTTAGAATCAATATAATTTGAAAGGAAACTTACAGTCATTTCTGGCAACGAGTTAAGCTTTTTTACAAAGTCCTTCAATTCAGAGACAGACTGAGTCTGTATGAAATACATGAAACCCAATCAGAACTCATTTCAGGAACTAGAGCTTGTTCTGTATTACAAATAATACTCAGATATAACCAGAAAATGGCCGGAGAAACTTTCTTAAAAGCTCTATTTAGATAACCCTAAATAATCTAACTTGCAAATATGGAAAGACCATAAAGTCTTTCTATAGTCTTTCTCCAACATTCCATATAAATAGACGTGACTAGACCTTAGATGATTCAGCCTTACCAGATTTTTCTTCAATTTATTACAGGAAAATTGGAGCAATTACGAGTGCGAGTCAAGAGATAAATTTAGAATATTTCAGGCAAAGGTCATTTTATCATTTTTAAATTCAGTTCACTCAATTCTACAACCACAATTGAAAAATAACTCTACAGCTATTTTTAATATAAGACCCAATCATCAGGCATTGGAAGCAAAAATGACAATAACTCACAGTGGTTGAAATCTCTGTGTAGTCCTGCTTCATGGATGTTGCTTTTTGACGAAGAACCTGCAACATGCTGTCAATAGTAAATATACAAAGCTTCAAAGACAAAATAAATAAAAGGTCAGACAGAATAAAAACTGAAGATGCTGTACACATTAATTATAATAATAATAATCAAACCATAAATAGATCAACCTGGACAACAACTTCAAAATTCATATCCCTTATTTCTTTGAACAATTTGTCACTACAGTAAAGACAACGTATAAAGTTAGTCAACATGGAACATCTAAAAGCAGAGACTAATCACACACTTTATGTATATGAATACCGTCACACCACACACACATGGTTATTGGAAACAAATGTCCAGAACAACAACTAATTTCTCCCATACAAGGGGAATGAATTATACTTCTATTTACTGGTAATGCTAAATGAGCCTACTGTGGTAGATGGAACAGCCTGGTCCAAGAAAAAAAAAGACTAAACACAACTGTAACTGGAAAAGAAATGAATATATATTAGTGATTCGAGCAGTATAGCTATTTTAATAAACCTTGTGGACAAGTAGAAATCACATCTATAAGAGACTAAAAGAAGAACAAGAGAAGAACAAGAAGAAATGAGAAGACCAGCTATACAACGTACACGAAAGAAGGACTTAAATAGAAATGCATAAACAATTAAATGTGCCTTTAAGTCCAAAAACGAATAGGATATTGTTTGGCCGTCGGCAAGCTAAAAATTCTAAATCTAATACGCTTTAATATTAAAGACATGCTTTACCTAGAATTGAGGGGAACCTTTAACTTTTTCCCTTCTTGTTGAACGCCCATAATGGAAGAATCTAGCTCCACAGCACCATTGTTGACGCCAAGAAACTGCATCAAACCTATTAGAGATAGCTTATGACAAATCAAAGCAGGAAAAAACAGAGAACAACCTCTATCATCAATATTGACTAATAAGTTCTCAAATAGCTTGAGCACTAACGCTTTTGTTCACTAAAAATTTAAGTCTCCAACAATATTAAGGCTGAAGTGTCAAACTTTTGAGGATTCACAAAGCATATTTCATGTTTATTTAAAACAGACTATGAAGATGACAACTAAATAGTGCTACACTTAAAATGAATATCTCTGATAAATTAAATCTCTAATTAACCAGTCTAGATCAGCACCACATGCTTTTCAAAAAGTTTAGTCCATCATGCGATAGACAAGAGTTAGTGAACTATCTGCGAATATGTATCTTAATCATAGTAATTACATATTCATTTTTACCTCATCTAGTAGTCCTTCGTATGTTAACTGAGAACACATGGGAGTAACCATGTCCACCTGCAATAAGATTGCAGCAAATTTGATATCACAATGACTGATTTACATAATGATCATTGTACAAAAATATTTTTGAAGATGTAATTTAAATAAATAAGTAAGTTTGTTCCTCTAACAACTTAAACTATTAGATGAGGTGGATCGACATGATATTAGAGCAAGCACATATCTTGAGTTCAAATCTCACCTCCCACCATTTATGAAAACATTGGTCACGTGTTAGGCTTTTGAGTAAAATAAAGTAAATGTGGCCTAAACACCTTTTTTTTTGGGTGGGGGGGGGGGGGGGGGGTTTAA